GCAGATGCAGAAAAAAAAAACCAAAAAAAAACAAGAACCCCCCCCTCAAAATGTAATTACAAGTTTCCATGAAGTGTCTTCTGCAACAATTCAATTATTTTTTGTTAAAAACAAAAACCTAACATATGTGGTGACAAAGATTTCAAAGAAATCTGATTGCCTTCATTGGAATGTACATCTAAGTAACAAAGCAGTAATAACAGAAGTAAACAGTCAAACTCAAGGTGGCCCAAAGATTATATACATGAAGTTTTGATTTTTCTTTTTTTTTCAAGACTTCCTCATGAGCAGTAGAAACATACTGTGAGTAACTTAGGGTTTTGGTTGGTTGTTTTTTTCCTTTCAGTAGTTTTTTATTGGTTCCCTTTCTTTCTAAGACTTTCAGGATGAAGGGTTTTGACACTGAAGCGAGCTAGAGTGTGGATATATTGGGATGTCTCAGAGACAACCAAAGACTGCTTTGGCAGAAGTTGTGGACAACCACCTTCTCAAGAGTCACTTCCTAAGTTATCACATTTTAGCTGAATCAAATACTCTTTAAAAGAGCTTCAGACTCCTGTCCCAGCACAGGAAAGACATCAGGCAGCAAGGGCCACAAAGTTGATTAGAGGTATGGACCACCTCTCCTGTGAGGAAAGGTTGAGAGAATCGAGATTGTTCAACCTGAAGAAGAGAAGGCTTCAGGCTGACCTAACTGTGACCTTCCAGTACATGAAGGGAGCCTACAAGAAAGATGGGTGGGCTTTTCACAAGAGCATGTAGTGACAGGACAGGAGGGATTGGCTCCAAACTGAGAGTAGGTTTAGGTTAGATATTGGGGAAAAGTCTACTCTGAGGGTAGAGAGACAGTGGAAAAGGATTCCCACAGAGTTTGTGGATACCCATCCCAGGAAAAGCTTAAGGACAGGGGCCTGAGGAACCTAGTTTAGTGGAAGGTTCCCTGTCCATGGCAGGGCAGCTGAAACTATGTAATCTTCAAGGTCTCCTTCAACCCAGGCCATTCTATGTTCTATGAATTTGTACTTTAGGTGACTACAATGGAAGCAATTAAGACAATAACATTTTGGACTGCTAACTTCATGTCTTTTTTTGTCCATTAAAAAGCATGAAAGCAAAGTATCTCATTTCAACAGCAGAAACATTTACCAGGATTCCTAATTAAGTCAGAGAAAAGTACACACAGTTAGTGTTGTCTGGAACTGATCTTTAAAGAACAGGGTCTGAATTAGAAAAACCCCAGATGGGGTCCTGATCCCTGGTTACGGTGCTCCCATATAAATGGTGACAGACACAAGATGATTAGTACAAACATCCCCATCTGTTCCCAATGAGGTATGGCACTTTTTTATTATTATTATTATTTCTTGAAGCATATTAATACTTAAGTTGTTGTGAGCTGAAAAAATAGAACCAAAGATCAGGCAGTATTAAACAAGCAGAACGTTTTTCCAGTGCTCGGGGTTGGATGCAAAAGAGTAAATTCCACAGACAGGGACTAAGTAATAGAGGTCTTAATCCTCGAACCTACTTCAGGGACTTCTTCACACTTTAGAAAAGGTTGAACAGCAGTGAGACAGACAATACCAACCTTTAAAAAGAATGGAGGTGTTAACATCTGGATTCTTAGAAATGAATATATTACTTGTATTTCATTGAATATTCTTTCAAGTTGGATTTGTTACAGCAAATATTCACATAAACAGCTTTTTTTATTGTGGAATCCTTAATGTTCCAAAGAGGTTTTGAAACAAACCACTAACTTCCTAAAACAACAAAGTTAATTTTCATTCCTACGCTTCACTTTTCATAATTTTTTCTCATTTTTACTTCATTGAACTTTATTAAGTTCTGTTATTACTAACAGAGCAAAGCAGACTAAAAAACACCTCAGCTTTTCTACAGGACTACATTCAACTGAAGAGGCTACCAATGGAAAAGCAAGAGGTATGTAATTCAAATACATGCATGGCCTTGACTTTTAGATGTTCAATCTCTGAGGGAAAGAAAATATTCTCTTTTTTAAAGCATATATTTTACAATTCTTTAAAAGCCTTGACTCCTTCCCAGATCTGTCAGTGCTGTTCAGACCATCCAGAGGGTCTACAGAACTGGAAAATTAACACACTTCACCATCAAGCACTATCACACTAAGACACCTTTTAAAAGTTTCCTCAGTTTTCCCTTAGCACCTAGTTTCAGAATTGACTGAAAGCCTCCAATATTCTCTCAGTCTGTCCAAAGATTATTTCAGGTTGCAGTATTGACATTTTGTGCTAAGAGTAAAAACACCATTACTTTAGGTATCTGTTAAAAGAAGAATGATACTGACAAGTGGTAAGATCATTTTCCACATATCAGAACCACTTTTTGATTCTAAAAAGGAACTTCTCTAAAGGCAGTAGGAAAGACATACCTTCCTCTTTCTTGGCATAATATTTGGGGCAGGCAATATAAAGGGATAGGGATATTACAGTGAAACTGATAGGGGAAAATAATGAGTTGCAGTATCACATTTTCCCTCCATCTCCAATTTTGCATGCTTTTACTGTTCAGCTTCACATTTTCTTATTTGTTGCTCCCCTGAAAATTCTCCTTTGTGCAACAAGTAGTCCTTATTACCTCTCCCAATTCAGGTTTAAAGAAATAAAAATCATTAACACCAAACACTTTTAAATGAAAATCCTTTACTTAACCAGAAGACTCATACCCATACATACACATACACATACACCCTCTTACTCTTCTCTAAGGCTATAAATTGTGTGACTGAAGGAAGAGAGGAAAAAGGCATAACCTGAAAGCCTGGTAGAGAGCAATATATCCCAAAAGAAAATGCATCTCTCCCAATTTACAGGAGGTAACAGAACCTCCTGTTCTACAGATAAAAATGGGTAATGCCTGAGGTTATGCCCATATTTCATTACTGTGCTTTTCCAGATGCTAGCAATGACTGTTGGCTTTTATATGGTTAATTACAGCTTAATAACAACTTAGGTGACTTACTCTTCAGTCCATAGGTAAGCATGTTAGATAAAGTCTAAATTCATTATTTACAAGAGAAAAAAGAAGTTGCACATAAGTCCTAAACATATGATTTTTCCATTTTAATTTATCTAGTTGTTTCATCAAAAACTGAACCATAGTTTACCCAGTCTGTATACTAACTAGTAAAGAGGATGCAATAAACACATAGGCAAATACTCCACTATAGTATCTATATAAAAAAATCCCAAACAAAACACTACACCCCACCCAGACACATCATACCCCCCCAAGCCTACAATAATTAAGTTCAAGCTTGCTTCAGACATAGACACAAGATGTCATGCAAGTGCTGAAGTACTAAACTACTTTCTCCAGCAGCGCACTGTTTCAAAGGCTGTGATGAACACGATACACACACCTCTGCTAAACCACCGTACCTGATGGCCTGTCACTGTCAGTCTCCTTTCAAGTGCTCTGAGCATGGCACACATTCAGCTCTTTCCTTTCTTTTTGAGGAGTTACTTTACACAGTATAATATCTAGCATATCTGTACTACATACAAAACGTACCAGGCAAAATTTTTACCACCTGAAAACTGAACCCCACTAGTGTGAAAGGGTAAAACCTGAAAGAATGCATGTCATCTTACTCCCTTCCCAAAACGTGATTTGACACTCATTTTCAACTATAAAGCCACTCAAATTTTCAACGCTCCTTCTACTCCATCCCCAGCGAAGAGAAATGAATTACAGCCCAAGCACCTACCCGGCAAGCACAAAACAAAGACCAACACGAGAACGCTTCAGCAGTTGTGTTAAATGGGAAAACACAACGCCTAACTAAATAATCACAGCTCTCAGAAAGCAACCGCGCAGCAAGCAAGCACAAAAGTCGGAATAAGGCTTGCAAGACAAAATCCAGCTCTGTAGGAACTAGTCTGCTGCAGTTTAATTTTCCAGGATCGTTCACCGTCATTAATTGTTGATTTGTTTTAAAGAACAGATAGTGATTTATTTGCAGCAGGATGAAGTTACGGACCTAAATTCCTGACCGGAGGCTCTCAACGTAAACAACACATAACCTATAAATTAACCATTCTCCATCTGGCAATTCAGATGTAAAATTCATAGTTTTCCATCTACCAGGCGGCGGCAACCGCCCCCCCACAGCTCCCCCCCCGTCCTCCCTTCTCGAGCGCTTTCTAACAGAGCCTGATGCAAAGTAGGAGGGGAAAAGAAAGAGGAGGAAAGGAAGGGGGCAAAAAAAGAAAAAAAAAAAAAAGCTAAGCCAGCATGAAAGAACCGGGCTCGCACACAAGTAGGGACCCAGCACACCGCGGTCTCTTCCCGCTGAGGAGCGCTGCGAAGTGAGGCGCGGAGAGAGCGAAGCGGGCGGGGAGGGGACGGGGATGTCCCCGCGCTCAGCCCGGGCACAGGCGCGGGGCGGCGGGAGCTCCGTGCTGCCCCGCGGAGCGGGGACCGGGCCGGCTGCCCAGGGCAGGCAGCGAGGGCGGGAGGGGACGCCCGGGGCAGGGAGGAAAGGGACACCCGGGAAGCCGCGATCACTCACTCACTCACTCATAGCCACGGGCGAGCAGCCTCCCCGCCCCCCCTCCCCGCCACTTCGCGCCGCGAGGAGCCACCAGCGCTGGGCGCGACACCGCCCGCCGGGCCACCGGGGCGAGGGGGTGACTGCCGGGCCCCCGCGCACCCCAGCCAAGGTCACTCCATCGCCCGGGGTGCCGGGCGGGAGGGGGGGGAAATTTAGTATTTGACGGCGGCCACGGAAAAGGGGGGAGGGGAGCAGCCCCGCGGAGGGGCGAGGGGGATGGGAAGGGGGAGCTCCACCACGGGCCGGGGGGAGCTCTGCCCTCCCGCTCCCCGTCTGCTCCCCGTCCTTCTCCAGCGCTTGCCGCGGAGCTCCGTCCGGGCGGGCGCCCCTCACGCCCCCGGGAAGGGAAAATGGAGCGGGGACGGGGTGGGGGTATCCGCGGCCGAGGTGCCGCGCTCCTTACCCCGCCGCAGCCGCCTCGCCTCGCTGGTCGCAGGCGGGTCCGCTCCGCGCTGCCGCCGCTCCGGGCTCGGAGAGGCGCTGCCGCCGCCGCCGCCGCAGCCAATCGCCGCCAGCCCCCTCCCCTTCCGCAGCTCGCCCCGGTCCCCCTGCCGGCTTCAAAATGGCGCCAACTCGTCTCCGGCTGCTCCAATGGAAGCGCCGAGGGGAGCGAGCGCGGCCAGCGCGGGGCAGCAGCGCCCCCTGCGGGCCCTCGCGGGCAGCACCCGCCGCCCGGCCCGGTTGGTGCTGAGGGTGGGCCCGGGCCGGCCCCGCTGATGAGCGCTCTGTGGGCGGCTGGGGCGAGCGCTTCCCCAAAACGACGAATTACTAAAAGACTGTTGTGAAAAAATAAAGAATAAAGTCGCTTAACTGCGGAGAAAGAGCAATAAAAGTAGCGTAAGTCACTCATCTAGCCCTTTGCTTTTGCTTCAGCAAGTGTAAGAGTTTGAGGGGTGTCCTTACAGGAAAACGCAAACAGAAAAACAGTGTGGCTTCTTCTCGCCACTACAGCTAAAAGGCTTCATTTACTGTAGAATCATAGACTAAGTTGAAAAGAACTCGATGATGAGGATCATCGAGTCCAACACCTGGCCCTGCACAGCACCATCCCTAAGTCACACCATGTGCCAGATAGTATTGTCCAAACTCTTCTTGAACTCTGGCGGGCTTGGTGCTGTGACCACTTCTCTGGGGAGCCTGTTCCATGGCCCGACCACCCTCTGGAAGAAGATCTTTCTCCTGACACGTCAGGAGAGCATGTGAGTGTTTAGAAGATTATGGTCCAAAAAACATAAATCACACTCAACACATCTGCTGAAATGTACCCTCGGCTTTGTCCAGTGTGAGAAAAACACTTTGACAGACTGTTACTCAATACATTGTAACTAGTGGTTTAAATCTTTCAGAAGATCCCCTCAGGCTTTCTGAACTTGCTAGTACATTGTACCGAGCATGCCTTATCTTCATTCAGTGCTAAACTACCTCATTGTCTAATGCAGACTGTCTCAGCCCAACCAGAACTATTACATACAAATCACTTTTCAGCCCTCGAAACTCCCCTTGTTCGTATTTTTTCCCCAGTGACTTATATTTAGTCCACTCCTTCTAGGAAAAAAAAAAAGAAAAATAAAAAAGTAGAGAATAAAAGAGAGAAAGGTTTGTCTGACAATTTTATATTGGGAAGGATCCTGGACTCGGAGGATATAGAGATATAACTCTTTGTTGCGGGTTGAACAATTTCCCCTCAATTCCCCCATTGCTGTCTATCTGGGCTCAGCAACTATTAAAGCCTTAGGCTGGGGAACACATCCTTTCCCAGTGGAGCACTTGCAGATGTGTGCAGGGATACTTACAAAGCAGCAGAAAACCGAAACACTTTTTGAACTCTCCTAACACTGCTATTGAAATTGCAAAACCCGGATAACTGCGAAAGTACCAGGGCGCTGAGATGCTCCGTGTTTCTCATGGAGCAGGTCACAGCAGCGCCGCTTCCAGCGCCTGACCAGGGCGCCAGGAGCGGAGGACGCCCCTCGGAGCGGGACAGGGCGCTGAATAACGGGACCTCCTCCGGCATGCTCCGCCCTTGTTTCCCGCCTGCACCGAGACCCTTCACGACTTTGGAATCGGCTTTTCAGAGGTGGCTCCTCACTCGTCCTTTTCCCACCCGATGTCGGTTCCGCAGTGGCCCTGCGGAGGGAGCCCGTCCGCCGCCGCCGCCGCTGCTCAGCCGCCTTGGAAAGTGCCGGGAATGAGCGCTCTGCCTACGGGAGAGGGCAACACGCACCCGCTCCCTTTTCCACGCGGTCCCTCCGTTGCACAGTTCAAGCGGTGCCAGCCCTGGCTGTGTCCCGGGAGCAGGTTCAGCCTTTCCCCACGAGAAATGTTGCATCTCTCATGGAGCTGGTGACTCTAAGCAGCTAAATTTTAGGGGATTTGCCACCTCCTGGAAGTACAGGCAAGTTGTGTTACTTACAGAAACTATATACTTGAAAATGATTTAAAATATTTGTGCAAAATAAATATTTTGCTTGCAGTAGGACATATAAGGAATCTCAGTGCCATAGAACTTTCAAGACCAGATCTTTTACACATAGAATCATTTAAGGTTGAACAACACCTTTAAGATCTCTGTGCCTAACCATTGACTCAGCACTGCCATGTCCACCACTAAACCATGCCCCCAAGTGCCACATTTACCTGTCTTCTAAATACCTCTAGGGATGCTCACACCACAACTTCCCTGGACAGCCTGTTCCAGTGCTTGACCACCCTTTCAGTGAAGAAATTTTTCCTAATATTCTAAATCTCCACAGGCACAACTTGAAGCCATTTCCACTTTTCCTGATACTTATTACTTGGAAGAAGAGAGTGATCCTCTCTTTACTACAACTTCCTTTCAGGCAGTTATAGACAGCAATTAAGACCCCCACAGCCTCCTTTTGCCCAGACTAAACAACCCCAGCTCCTTCACTTGCTCCCCTGAAGACTTGTGCTCCAGATCGTGTGTGCTGAAGACACTTTCCACATCTCAGTGTTCAAGTGACAATGATGAGCATAGTCAAAGAACACCCTTACACAGCAGTATTCTTCTCACAGCCTTCTGTCTGTAAAAACATTGTGTGAAAACAGAAGACTGCAGTGACATGGGTCTTTTAGTCCCTACTTTATCAGACTGACAATCTCTCCCCTTGAATCATTTTAGTTATCTTTCTCAATTCATTCTTTAAATTGTTGTGTCCTTACAGATCAGAACTGTGCACTGTACTCAAGATAGGAGTACATTGAGATTCCTCTCAGAGCAGCAAACTGTCTTCTGTCTTGCTCTCAGTACTATTCTTGATGACACTTTACATCTCTGTTGTTTAGGGTTTGGTTTTTTGGGGTTTTGTTTGTTTGTTTGTTTGTTTGTTTGGTTGCTGTTGCAGTTTCAGTCAAAGATTTCAGAGAGCTGATATCAGCAACTTCAAGATTCCATGAACATAGACTTCCAGGTTTGACAGGTAATTCTATGCTTTACCTTACACTGATCTACTTCTCAAAGCCTATCTTTTTACTCACCCCATTTTGTGAGGCCTTCTGGAGCCTTTACACCAGCATCTGATTACCTGAAAGAGTTTAACATCCTGAAAGTATCATTCTGTCTGCATTCCCTTTTCTGGGTCATTAATGAAAGATTGTGGCATAAAACAACTTAAGTAAGCCCAAACATTTCTGGGAGAGAGACTTGATAACTTTTCTCCACCTGAGAAAGTAACCAAAAGTACTCTCTGCTTCCATCCTTCAACCATATTTCCAACTCAACATAGGACACTTACTTCAATTCCAAATTTGTTTGACAAGTTTTAGTAAGAAAGGTGCACAAATGCTCTTTAAAAGTACAAGTATGTTCCCTGGTTTGTCCTTGTACTTCCCGACTCACAAACCTGCTGTAAGTCTGTGATTGTGTCACTATCTCCCTTCACAGAAACTACACTGGCCCTTTCCCAACACATTGTCTTTATCCATTGGCCCTGTGGTCATACTCTTCTACGGAATTGGCCTTTTAGTGTATGTACCAACAACTGTCATGGCACTATCAGGTTTGTGAAAATGATACTTTTGTTTCCAGCATAGATACTTCCCTCTGTTTCCCTTTTAATTGGGACTCTGAAACAATTGCATCAAAAGTATTTTAATAGCAAAACAATTCAGATTAAATATATGTAATTTACATACTGAGCCCTTCACACTGGAAGGGGCCTTTGACATGTAGGAGGTAGGCTTTCTACTTGCAGGTGTAGTGATTTGTCTCAGAGAAAGAAAAAATTATTAATTTATTGGTGTTCCTCTTCAACTAAATAGCTGATAATATTATGAACGTGAGTTAACTTTGCAACTAATTTTAGTATCTCATATGTCTCTTAAGTAATTTGCAAGGAAGCCACATGGAAATGATGACTTTAGATGACTGGAATTTTTAGACTCTTACTCTCTGTGTGTGTGCTGTTTCCAACACTGTCTCCTTGTAAACAAAAATCAAACAGCTGAATAAGATAGTGATGCTCAGAATCTATTAGCTTCAATATATGTGCAATATAAATTTTGAAGTTTAAAAGTACTACTTTCATCTTAGTGCTAACAAGTCTGACTCCACCAGAAATATCTATTTGTGCCTGTCTTGTGGCTGTTTTTTACAGAAGACAAGAGTCATTAAGCACTATATGAAATTTCACAAAAACAAGCAAACCAAACCAAACAAAACCCAACAAGAACAAAACTAGAGAGGATATGAGGATGTGATGTTATTCTTCAGGGTGAGGGCTGCAGAAAGCCTTCAACTCCACCTACTCATCTGCTTCCTTCATTAACTAGTTAATAGCTATACTAGGACACCATTAAGATTAAATGACCTTCTAAAGTAAGTCAGTCTATTAAAGCAAGAAGCATTACCCCCTCACAAAACATGTCCTCACCAATCAGCTGTAGATGTATCTTTATCTCTGACTTCTTCCTAAAGAGATCATTGCCTAGTTGGAGGCATGCATGGGAAGAGAACAATAAAATGCTTCATGTTACAGGAGCCACAGAAGCAAAAACATCATTTAGATTTTTAATGTCCTAAAACAGAATCTGCCTCTTCACAGCAGTCAGGAAGTGATGGTGTATATTTTGCTACCGAGCAGGGCATCCTTTATGCCTTAACTCAACAAATCAAACCATCTTGCCATCTGATAGGAATAGGTTAGAGAGCATTAATACACAAACCGTTCATCTTCTAAGTATGTTATTGGGCTTTTTAATAGTTTCTTTACATTCTAGTATGACTTAACAGCTGTTTTGTTGCTAAATGTCATGGAATCTTTTTGCTGACCACATTTGCACATTGTATTCCTACAATTCATCACGAATATAACCTATGGAAGCCAGCATCTAAAAAATCACAGTAGAAAGGGGAAAAAAATTATTCTTCCCTGGTGCCTTGCAGATAGGTATGACTGTAGTGAATACAGTAGTGAATTAGTATTTTGGGAACCTGTACCAGTCTTTCTTTCCCTGGTGATTAGCTCAGTTTGTCAGTGAATTAAATTAATTTCTCCTCTGAGTTACCTAGAATTGATTTAAGTGCTCTCCATCCTTAATTGAGATGTAGGATAGGAGGTGGGAGAGGATAGTACATAACTTGCATATTCTTAAGCAATGGCATTAGCATAACAAAATGGGAAAAATTAAGAACTTTCTACTCTAAGTTGTATCTGTAAAGTGAGCGTCTCAGTAGTTCAGCTTTAAGAAATCAAATAAAAGTAATTTCAAGTAAAAGCTGAGTGTCTAAAATGAACAAGAATTTGACCAAACTGAGAGAATGTCAATGTGGACATAACTAAGAAAGCAGCACTAAACTTTCATAGTGTTTGATAGCTTCTTTCCTCTTGCTTAAAAATTAGTATATTAAGCATTAAACACTTGAACATATTGTCCTCTGTAAAATCTGGGTATTTTTTAGTTGCTATATCTGGTGCTTTCTTCTACTCACAATTTTTGCTTTTACCATTCCCCTGTCTGCCCTCTGTTTAAAGCTACTTTAATGTCCCATTGAATTTCCACTCAGTCTCCTTCATTTTCATGTAAATGGGAGATGCTATTTAGAGAGTCCCGCAGACTAAGCAGTGACTGGACCTTCACCTTGAGTGTCAGCTTCCTAGAAACTCCCCATGCTCTATTTTGAAAGACATGAATTGTTCTGTTCGGAATCCCGTTTCCTTGGCTGGCTTTCACAACCCAAAATCTCAGCTTTGTTGTGGGCCAGCAGTTGTTATATTGTCTAGAGCACTCTGTCTTAAAAGTTAAATCTCTTCCATTCTTTTAGTACTGTTTTGCTGCAGCACTTGAGACTTAAATGATAGAACATGTATTATGAATTATATATTATGCTTTACTATCAAGAAAAAGCCTATCATGCAGATTTCAGATAAAAATAATTAAATGAAAGGTTTCAAGAACCTCCAAAATAAACTAACTCGTTGTTACTTTTATTCTTGCCCCACTATTTTTATCTCCAAAAGGATTCATCCAGTAGCAGAAGGGAATCAAATAACTATATTTAAATTACAAAGTAGTTATTTCACAGTCAAAAGAAATATTAATCTAGCCATGATTTAAACATCACTTGCTACAATCTGTTGAATATATAAAATAATACTCCTATCTCACATAATCAGCAGGCTACCTGGAATAATTTTTTTTTGTTTGTAAAAATTTATAACTTTATCAAAACTCTAATTCTTAAGTTAAGTTTGAAAATAAAAACCTCTATATTATCTGTGAAAATTAATAAGCAAAAAGCTCTTACTGTATTTTTACCGCTGAAACTTTGATGTGACATTTGCATACCAGAATTCCTCAAAGCTTCAGAAAAACAATTTGGCAAGCAACATTCCTGGTTTGTTGAGTAAACCAGTTCTCTTAAAACTCACCAGAATTTCTCCCTAGAGATAGCTTGATTTAAAGTCAAAGAATTATGCAACAGTATTTCTTAAATCATCTTGAAGCCTCACTTTTTCAAACAAGATTTAGTAAAGTGACAAGACAATCCATGACCCAAGGCCCTTTAGAAAGAGGCACGATTAAATCTAAGTCTGCAACTAGTCCACTTGAACTCAAATAGATGCTATATTTAAGTGTTATTAGAAGAAGAAAGAGCACTCTGCTATGTCAAGTCTGATAACGAGATCACAAGGTTTAAATGATTGAGCTATCATTCCATATTAACCCTTAAATACAAAAGTCAATCTCAAGTAGTGCCCATTGGATAATTTTTTTCTCTTTTAATACCACATGGAGTCTCATCATTCTGTCTATCTGAAATTAGCCTGATCTTTTCTATTAAAAGGCATAACACAGGCATTTATTGTTTCACTAACAAATGTTTAATTTTCTGTATTATTACTTTTTATGCCAGCTACCTTCTTTATGCTGAGTTATTTTGGAAAGTTTTATCTAAAATATTTCTGGAAGCAAATTTAACAGAAACCTTTCCATACACAACAGAATAGCATGATGTTTTTACCAAAATACCCAGTTCTCAAACAAGAACAAAAGCCACTAGTTTAGACGAGGCAGGACAGCAATTAGGCAACACCATGGGCAGGAAGGAGTAGCAAAAGCATTTTCTCTGGCAGTAGTTTCATTTTAGTGTGGTTTACCTGTAATTCTAAATTGCACCTGAAAGCTTTTTTTCCTACTGAACCTGAAACCAGGCCCATGCAGAAAAAAGCAGTGAAACAAATTAGTTTGGTTCAAGTATCAGAGATGTCTGCATTGCATTTAAAGCATCAACTGTACCAGTGAACCATAAAGGAATCAGGATGATCCTCCAAATTGGTCAGTTGCCATCTTCCCTTTTTAATGTAGGAAATCAAAAATTTTTACAAATGTAAAAATGAAATTTTAAAATTCAGACTTCTCTGAAAACAAAGAAAAACGTCATCTCTTAATGCTTCTTTGTAAATATTTTCACTTTCAGCCTCTTGGACACTGCTTTTTCCTACCCTGTCAGCTTCTCCTAACAATGTTTCCAATGGAACTTTTTTTATGATCTAGTGCAGGACAAGGAATATGGGGGAATTATTTGCAGATTTTATCTCAAGCAAGAGACTTCCCACGTAGGAGCTGTAGCAGCTGTAACAGGATCGTCAGGGAAAGTCTATTTCATTATACTCAATGAAGTTGAAAAAATGACATTAGGGTTCTGCCAGTTGTAACATGTGGCTTATTTAATTAGGTACAAGTAATGGGAGAACTCCCCAAATTAAATACATCTGAGACAATTACTACATACAAAACACGAATGCTTGAGAGCTCTGATCTTCAGATATTACCTCCAAAATGTCCATGTGCAGGACTCTTGCTCTCTCTTAATGGTTAGCTTGGGTGTTGCATGACACAGCCTGTGTAGGGAAGCACGTAATTACTACTACAGATGAATGATAGTGGCAAACTGGGAGATTCACTTCAACAGATCACTTCTGATCTAGATTAAAATGCTACCAAAGACACATCCTTGCCTTCCAAAGAAACCAAGGCCATCACCTGGCACAGGAAAGGAGACTATGCTTTGGTTGCAGGGTTAACTGGAAGGAATGCCTGGCTGGTGGATTTCACCAGTTCTCTTTCTATTTTTTATAGCAAATAATCTAATTTCAGTGACTTTATTAATTGTATACTTTAAAACCTTCATAATCCATTTGGGTAGTGTGACAGAATAAATATTGCAGGTATTTAGAATGGGCGCATCGCTTACTGAAGCTCTTGTGTGCAGTAATGAAATTTGGGGAATTACTGTTACAAGGCTGAGGGGTTTTCCAGGAAAAATGTGGTTTGCCTTGCATAGTATCACAAGATTTGGGGGAAAAATGTAGTTAGGTGATATTAAAATTTTATTTTATACATGTGTGAAAACCACCAATCACTTGTTTTTAAAATTTTAAAAATTTAATAGTAATAAAATGGTTATAAAAATAGCAGTACAATTAGAGTAATAATAATTTGGACAATTTGAATTAGGACAATATGAGACAATAGAAACAGTTACTGACATCCGGGTACCTTTTTCTGGACAGCAGAAGTCTGAAAAAGGACACCCGTTAATAGAGGATTAACCCTTAAAAGCAACAGCCTGTTGCATATTCATACACTTCATACATGATGCATAAATTCCATTCAAACACAGGATTCTGTCTGGTCATCGTCAACTTCTTCCTCTGAATACTAACAGCGCCTTCGAGGCAGGAAGAAGTTCGTTTCTTCTGCTAAGAGGGCAATAAATTCTTTTTCTCTGAAAGATTTAGATGTCCTGTGGCTGCTATCTCGCTGCAAGTCCTTTCTTTTAAAAAAGTATCCTACATATCATAGTTTCTACTTTAACATTTTTCATAACCTAAAACTATATTTAACACACTACTTAAGAGAATTAACACAGCATAACTTTCTTACACAACACATATAATACTCATGTTAATATTTATATTAATATTTAATATTTAATAAAATCATAAAATAGGCATTTTTCACGCCTGCAGGAGGGAAAGTTGCAAATCCACGTTAAGAACAACACACGTCTAAGAAACTTGGGCAGCTTTCACACTAGGGACAGTCCCCACCGGAGCGCTGCTCACGTTCCGTGACAGAGCAGGACGCCCCCCAAAGCAGACGCCGCACAGGCCAAGCAGAGCGGCCACCCCGCAGGAAGGCGAATCCGGACAAATCCCAAATCCCACCCCGGGTCCGGCACCGGGCTCTTCCTGCCGGGCACAGCGCGCGCCGTGCCGGGGCAGGCTCCGCCCCTCGCGGCGCCACGCGCGGGGTGAGGGGGCAGCGGGAGGCGGCGCCATTTTGGGCGTGGGGGGCCGGAGGCGCTGCCTCTGCCGCCGCCGGGAGCCGCGGCCTCGAGGTTCGTGTCCTCCCCAGCGTGTGGCTGCTGCTCGGCCAAGCCGCTTCTCCTCCGCCGCCAGCGCTGCCGCCACCGACCTGTGCCACCGGCGGCGTGGGGATGGCGGTGTGAGCGCGCAGGAGCCGGCGGCTGCTGAGGTTGTGTGACGTGGGCCCGGCGCTGAGGGAAGTGTTTGTGTGTGCGGGAGAGGAGTGGGCTTTGCACCGTGGGGAAAGGAAGGACGGGCGGCTGAGCAGCTCCCCGAGCCGTGGGGCCGGTGGCCGTGCCTCCGCCTCGGACACGCCGCTGCCAGCCCGGTGTGCGAGGGTGCAGCGCCTGCTGCCCCGGCCCGGCTGCGGTGCCGTGTGAGGGCGCTGGGCTGTGCGCTCCGTCACCGCCGTGCCACCGTGCCAGGAGAGCCAGCCAGTGCATCTGTCTGTCGGTTCTGCCAAATAGGCCTGATTTTTCCTTTTGGGAAAGGTGTTACGCGGGTTGAGCTTAAGGCCGTGAGGTAGTTAGTTAATTGAATCTTCTGGATGTTTCACAGGTCAGTTAAGGTGGTAAATAAGTCTGGCATCCCTGTGTGCCGGCTCAGGTTCAGTGCTTACAACCAGTTCTTTACAGAAATGTTACAGACCCGGACTTGCCCCATTCAGGAGGTGAGAGTGTCAGAGAGACTGCATTTTCCTTGAGCATACTTGCTCTGTCCTCACCAAGGACGCAGGCAGATATGCTTTTGAGTGCAGCTTCACTGTCTCCAAGGTTAGCGAGGGACAGTCTGTTAGAGATTAGCAAGAAAGAACATTCCTATGTGGGACAGTCACAGAGCAGCATTTTCTGTCAGTGGAGGTCTTGTCATACAGCAAATGTTCACAGGTTTACTGTTTTAATTCCCCATCATGAAATGGGGTCTGCTTAAACATCATCCCAGAAGATGAGGACATAGAAGCTAATAAAGTTACTTTTTTACCCCAGTACTGTGGAGGAAGCAGGACATTTTTTTTCTAGATGGGGATAGACTGAGTAGAATAGATAGAATAGTAGTAATGCCATACTTGCTTTCTAATAGACAAAAATGAAGTGTGAAGAACGTGGGGGCATGCATACAAAACATAAATCTTGAGAGGAGGAGAGATCATGGTACCAATTGTGAGGAAGAGAGAGAGTTGCATGGCCATGTTTCTTCCCCTTCTAACAGTAATGCTTTCTTCCAGGTACTAAAGTCAAGTGTGGACAGTAACATCTCCATGCTTTAGCCAGTTTGACATGAGAATGGCAGGTTTCTCTTCCTTTGGATGGTAGGTGAGAAAGTGCCTAGAGTAACACCTTTTCTTGTGAGTTTTGTGAGTGAACATGTTGGGCTAATGGCTACTTACAAATCTTCCCATAATACTACCTGCAGATCCTTTTCAGATAAAGAAAATTATTTTCCTATCCAGGATGAATGGCATGTGGCACTTTGTTAATATTTAGTTGTGGAAAGTTGAAATGTTTCAGAAAACACTGGAATAAACCTTCCAGTAGGGGAAATGTGTTCTTTTCTGTTTGAAACTACATTTATTTGGTGGGGAAGAGTTTACTCTTTATTGCATACTGTGTAGTCTTCAAAATCCAAGAAATTCAGACTAATAGATGGATAATGACATGGCATAGTGGTTAGTGCCACCTTGCTTTGTAACAGCTTGTCTCTGAACCTGTCTAGAACTTAGTGGTTTCATTCTTGGAATGTAATCTATTTGGGACAGGGATTTTTATGTGTGTGTTTAATTTTAGAAGACATGCAAGCAAATGCTCTTGGTCCCTAACAAAAGTCCTTAGCAGTTCCAAAACCAGAACCATAACAACAGACTGCAGCTTTGATTTTAGGTCTTGCTTGACATGTTGTAAATTGCAAATGCCGCCCAGAACCTGTTTGATTGGTTACCTAAATGAGTTAGTGGACTTCGGTTCATGTCACAGAAAACAATCTTCATGGTTCAAGTGTTTGCATTTTGTTGGTGTATTAGTAGTGATCTCAGACATCAGTTTGTGCATTGGAAATTGGCATATCCTTGTCTTTTAAAAGAGATTTCAAACACTTGGCGAAATAACAGCTGGTAGAGAATAGTAGTAACATCGGTCAGAGATTGCTGATGTAATTATTTTTCCAAACAGTCACGTTTTAAAAGCATGATTTGTAAATTATTTAAGGCATATCATCAAATGTGACTGCTCGACTGATACAGCACCAGCGTTTTTTACTAGAGATGAGCAATAAGTAATGTAGCAGTCTACTTTAAACCATACTTGGGGTAGGTGATGTGTGTTTTTCTTCTGGGTGAATACATTCTAGTTGAGACCATGGACAGTGTGATGTCATAGCCCTGAGTAACTTCAGCTTTTTTGTACTTTAAAAATGTGCATGCTGATAATGTATTCATTCTTTTTTCTAAGATGCTTCATGCTGAAAATACAGCAAGGCTCTTGGAGTGTCAGGACGAAATCGGAATTGAGCCGTATTCTAAAAGAATGAAGTCGACAGAAGGGGCTTGTGAGAAACTCCCTGATGATGATGACAAAGGTACTCAGAAGAAAGTGGATGTTGAGAGAAAATCAAATGGTTGGATACCTACATGTGCCTTAGATAACCAAGGGCAACACGAAATGCAGAAGCAAGAGAAAATACCTTCTGGTGCCTTGGGATCCTTGAATGAAGTTCTTCCTGAAAATAATCCAGTACTTAGTCAGCCAATTGATTTAGAAACTGGGCAGAATATAAATCCTCCTTTTACATCAATGAATTACTCTGAAGTTGAAGAAGAGAAGGACCCTTTTATTACAAATAATGGTGGTGAAGATAATACTGAAAAAGGCAGTGCATCATTCTCAATAAATAGAAATCAATCAGATGAAGACTTTTTTACAAGCAAAGATTTTATAGGACCTATTTACAAGCCTGCCAAAAGTAACAAGCCGGACAAATCTGGCAATTGCAATGAATGTAGGAACACGGGAGGAGATGAGAATGAATTGTGTGAAAACAGATGTAAAAGAAAGGAGGCGAAGAAGATGCAAGCTGTTTCTGCCTCTGTACCAGAAATAGATGATCAGCTGGATCAGTTCTATAAAGAAATTCACCAGCTGGAAAATGAAAATTTAGATACTAATGTTCAGGAAAAAGAAACAGAAGTTTCTGAGGAACAACACTTTCCATTTAACTCCAGTCAGAGCTCACAAGAAAATTATCAGCCTGTAGTTTTGGGCAGTCCACACCCATTTTATGATAATGGACAGTGTTCTTCGGGAGAACAGAACAGTCAGAAAACAAGCAATGAGCAGCAGTTAGTTGTGGAAACAGGTGGCTGGAAAACTGAAAATACCTTTAATGGCCAAGCAGATACTTGGAACTGCTCAGTGCCTGAATTCAGACCTGCTTGGCAGACTAGAGCATCTTTCAACAAACCTCAGGGACCTTTTCCTCCTAGATTCAGCCATCAATCCCATTTTCAGATATTTGATCCCCCACCTCAAATCCCAAATGTTCCCTCTCCTCAGAATGGAGGATTTCCTTACAAAAGTTACCATGGAAATACTGATATCAGCAGTCATGGTCCATTGCTTGATCAAAATACCAACTATTCTGGTCATGCTGACATCCATAATACTCAGGTCTTCAGGAATGGGAATAATGATCAGAATGGACTCCAAAGTAATGGTTTCTGTGAAACCAGAGAAGAGCGTTGGAATGATCCAAAAGCTGACAGTACAGGAGGAATGCACAACTTTTCTTCGTTGCAGTTATCTGAAGAAAAATTCAGTTCTTCACAGAAATTGCTTCTAATCTTAAGAGGCCTACCAGGTTCAGGGAAATCCACACTTTCTCGGTAAGTGCAGACTTAAAGCTTGAGAAGTTCATTCAAGTAAAATTTTTTAAGAATTTCTAATGTATCTGTAAGCACTAAGGAAACATCTTAGTTTGGAAATTAGATTCTTAAAATGCAGCAGTTTAAAGCTGTCATTTGTACTTAAAGAGTGCAAGTGGCCGTAAATATTAAAAAGATTTACTTGGGGGTTTTGTCTCCCTCAGAGTTTTGATAACCAGGAGCTTCTCTGTGCTAAATTTAAAATGTTGAGCATCCAATAAATTGCATAGTCTTTTATTCTGAAATTTTCGTACTAGTATGTGGTGGTCTGCTGCTTTTTTTTAATTCTTAAATTTAAAAAAACCCTCCCATCAAGTCTAACAATGTCAATTTAACTGAACCAGAAGTCCTTTTTCATGCCCATGTAAAAGTTTTCAAAGGCCATTAGAAGAATGCTGCTGCCCTGAAAATACCTGGTTTTGGTGAATTGAAGAAACTGAGCATTATCTCATTCCATTTTTTCATAGCATGGTCTGTCAATGACTCTTCCTTGTTTGTGAACAACGCACAATAAAAACATTATTTTTTCTTCCAAATATACTTGTTGAAGTCTGACAAGGTTAAAACCAGGTAATATCTCCAACTTGGATTTTCCTTTTGTGGTTTTTTGGCCTATTTTAAAAAGCACAGAAAGTGGACAGAGCATAGATGGTACCTGTGTTAAGTGAAAGTAAGTTTGTCTTGTATATATAAAAAAAGAAGTTTTTGAATCAGTACTTACTGATTGAGTTTCATCCAGAAACTACATCACAGGATGTCTTCTGTAGTTATCATCTGTTGTATGTGAGGAGTCTGTGGAATAGACTCAGTCATCATGTTCTTATTTGTGTTTTTTAATATAAAGAAGTAACATTCTATTTAACATTCTATTAGTGGATTTTTCCTGGTATTTAGGAGACATATTACAACTAGAAATCTCTAAATTTTTTTTTTACATATTTCAGTTGTTTTTACGATAATATTTTTATAGTTACTGATTGCTGTGTTTTGCAAGCCTGCATTTTTGAAGCTGCATGTCCCCATTTGGTATTACTGCAGTAATTTCTTTAATTTGTGAAGGCAACATAAAACATTTAAAAATAACCCTGTGGAAAAAATGCTGCCTTATTCAGTTTAGAGATTGGATACAACTTAATATGAAGATACGAAATATATTTGTTTTCCGTGTTTGGTGTGCTAAATTGTCTCTAAATCTTTCTCCAAATATATGACTCATATAATCTGAAAAATTGTAAATATCTTCAGGTTTTTAAGAACATGTATTTGTGCTTTTTTTCATCTGTCATTAGTGAGATCAGTTACTAATTTTGTTTAGCAGATGGGAAAATGGGCACTATGAGATCAAGGTTAAGAATAGTTACCAAAAGTGAGTGCAGAATTTGAACAGCATGGGGCTTGCTTTTCAGCGTCTTCAATTACATGCAGTTTCATATGTTTAATGCTTGGTTGCAGTTGTTAATTCCCATGAAATCATGGGTCTTGGATATCCTTGGGAAAGAAACTTCCCAGAATTAATGGGTGCCGATGGGGAAAATACCTTTTTTATTAGTTAAGTTGTAATAAACATGTTTTGAACATGTTTTTCTGTGTAACATCATAGAGTTCTGCAGCGTAGCCTAGGACAGCAATGATGTTATATCTGATGCCATATTAGTACCCACAGGTATCTTTGCAGATATTTGCGTTTTTGGCAGCTGCAGACAAACCTTTACTATTTGTGCCAGTAAAATAACTGTGAAGGAAAAGCAGAAAACTGGCATTGTCTGTGTGGATCAGCACTAGAGGGGAATGAGGTGGGAATCTTGTGGGTTTCCCAAGCTGGAAATGACAGCAGGCCAGTAGCGAGACCTTGGAATATCAAATTTCTATGAGCAAGGGTTTTTAAGTACAGGCACTTTTCTTTCTGCCCACAAACTTGACTTGTGTCTGTCTCGAATCTTCCACTGAAGTTTATTTTTGGGTTTGCCTCTTCCATTTCAACTAAACAGTTGGAATTTGGGCATGTTTTTTGGAAGAGAGTGGTGGGTGTGAGCTAGTTCATTGTTCTGCTTGGAGGAGGTCTGTCACCATCTCTGGATCAGGTCAGGTGTGTCTTTGTCAGGCCTGAGCTTAAAAACGCCTCAGAGATTTCTCTGGTCTCACCAAACTTCTCTAGTGCAGTACAAACCACCTGAATAAGGAAGTTGTTCCTAATCTCCAAAATGACGTTCTGAAGACATAATTTGCATGTCCTGTGTAATAACATGTGTTGTTACGTGGTAGAGTGTGGCTCATGTTCTTTGCAGCTTCCCTTCTGATAAGGGAGAGGTTTATTCACTGCAATAGGTCACCATCAGACCTTTCACTGTCTCCACTGCCAGACTAAACAAGCCCAGCTGCTATTAACCTCTCCTTAGATGTTGGATGCTTGCAGCCATCTTGGCAGCCATCTGTTCAGCCCTCCCATGTTTTTCAGCATGTCTTTTGAACTGGGGAGTCCCACACTGGATACAGTGTTTCAGAATTTCCCACACAAGAACCAGGTAAAGTGTGAGTGATCTCTTCTCACCTGATCTACTGGTCATGCTTCCTCTACTAAAGCCCACGTTGTGATTTGCCCCACCTTGGATGAGGCTACACCATTCACTCATCTCATTTGATGTCCACTGTAATCCTCAGACTCTTTTCAACAGAGCTGCTCAACCACTCACTTCCCTGCCTGTGCTGAGGCTTAGCTTTCATCATTTGTAGAACTTTACTCTTTCTCTGTTGAGCTTCCTGATGTTTTGCTTAGCTCAGTTCCCAGGTTTTTCTGTGGCCTTCTGGATAGGCGCCTCGCTGTTCAGCTCTGTGTTGAGCGCCACTGCTAATCTGGTGTCATCTGTAAGTCTCTGCCTCATCATCCAGGTTTATGATGAAGATACTGAAAAAGTGATCTTAATCTATCCTTTGTTGTTCTCTGCTTGTTACTGGCTGGGAGATGATGTTGGAAGCTTTGATAATTTCTGAGTATGCTGCATTCATCACTCAGTCCTCATTGACAAATGCACTTGTTTCATCAGAGTGTGTTCTGGTCAGTAAAGAATGGCTTGTCTGTTGCAAACCCCACACTGGCTCTTCTTGGTTATCCTAATTTGCTTAACATGTTTGGAAATAGATTTTGAGCATGCACTCCGTTGTTTCCAGGACAGAGCTTAGGTGAGCTTGAGCAGCCATTAGTTCTTTGGGTTATTGTCTTTACTTGCCTTAAATATGAGCACATCAGCCATTTCTGGCTCATTGGGGAGCTCCCCTCATCTCATGGATTTATTTCCTGTGTCCACCTGACTTAGACAATCCCAGCCACTGAGCCTCATACAAAATCTGTTTCTTAACTATCCATTTCCAGTTTTGTATTCCTGTTCATATCCAGTCATGGCTTTTGATCTGTGCTCACTAATTCCATATCTGCTTCTAAGTACTAAGCTGATTTCTTCATTTCCATCTCCAGTCTTCATCCCATTTATGCCCAGATTCATTTTCTCCCTGTTTCAGTCAGTGGCATTATTTCCCTCCCAACTTCATTATGCCAATGTCTTCCCTCTGCTTCACTCTGCCTTGGCCCTGTTTCCTAGCTCTACTGCCAGACCAAGTTGCTTGTTCCAGTGTTTATACCACTATGCTTCCCATATCCTCCTATTTTAGGCCAGTTTTGTTCCTTTTGTTGCCATTTGTGTGATGGGAGAAATGTGTTCTTATAATGCAGTATTGGTGCTGAATCAGCTTCCTGCCACTGCCAGATTGCTCTGTTCAGGATTGGGTTTGCCCTGAGAATCATGAGTTCTTTTAACTATAATTTGCTATGCACATGACATTTTACAGTGTATACCTTGGGCAGATTTACAAAAAGGTTTTACAGGGCAAACATTTGTCAGATTTCAGTTCTTCAATCCAAAGCTTCTCAGAGAAAAGCTTGGAATAACAAAATACTTTTGTTTAAAAAATAAATGCTTTATTTTTTCCTTGGTTTTGGAAGAGATTGAGCATTTAGTTAAAAATGTTAGAAAGCATTTTGGCTGGACAGATAACCCAGCAGTGATAGCTTTAGCCCAACTAACCAAAGTCTGCTACAATTAGAAGTAGATGATAATGTGATCTTACAGTCCTGGTAAAAGTTATAGGAAAAGAGACTTGTATTTTTAAAATATTTTGCTACTGAAGTTGGCAGCAGTTGCAATTTGCCTGTTCTCCATAAATACTTAAGCATTAATTTGAATGAAAGAGAGCTTAATGAAATTGAAAGAGCACATATTGGTGTCATTTAAGAAGTCTGGTTTTAGTTAAATCCAGTAACATATAAAGACAATTCTTTCTCTGGGGCCGTTTCTCCTCAGAGGGAAATCTTCTGAAGGGAAGAGTTAGAGTTAATGCTTATAGCTGGATGTAGAAGCAGTGGTGTGCTGTTGTTTCTAATTATATATTTATTTTATCAGTGTTATAAACAGTGCTTTTAGAGGAGCATTTACACAGCTCAGTAATGCTGCATATTTTGAAACTATATTTAGTTATTGCCTACTTTTTTCCTCATCCACAATATAGTAGCTATTTTAAATAGGTGAATTATTTATCTTTTTATTATAAAATCATTTATCAAAGTAGGCTAACCAGGATACATATTTGGGGACTGTTCTAAATGGATTTGTGTGTTTGCATGCATTGGAAAAAATGTGTATTGGTTTGCTGAGTAGTTAATATCTTGGTTTCAACATGAGATTTTTGTATGTCAGGATAATAGCTTCTATTAGATCAGGTAGTATTTCTGGGAAAAGTAGGTAAGCTGCTTTAATTTCAGTGTCCTACTGTGTTCAAAGGGGGTGTTTGCTTGGAGGGAAGGTTTAGGGTGAAAAGAATGTATTCCAGCAGTTGGATAATATGCTACTCATTTCAAGCATGTACACATACTGACTAACCTGGAATTTGACTCTCAGTGGAAATACATTTATCTTTTTTTTCTTTTTTCCTCTCTTAAAAGTGGAGTATTATCTCTGTGGGTTTAGATAGTAGTGATGCTTTCTTTCTGTAGATATGATTTTTGTTCTTTCTGTTCTTTATTCATGGGACTGGGAAAAATTTTACTTCCAAGTACATGTTAGAGGTAAATGAATTATGCCATATGATGTCATCCAGTAGTTTTCTGCTTTGAATTTTAGAAGTTTAAATACTGCAAATACAGTTTACTATATTAAATCTGTTATTTCAGTTATATTGGTCCATTAACAGTTGTGGTGTGTTCTGAACTTCAAGGAATACTAACAAACTATTTCAAGAATACACTTTGTTGATGGGTTTGCAAGATTTCGGAACCCTTGTCACCATAATTCTTTATTGCTGCTAATGATGTGTGGAAGATATATGTGTGGAAGAATTCAATTCAGTGAGTTATTCTCAAGAACATGAACAAATGGAGTCAGTTCTTAGAAATAAAAATGAAAATCAATGTCTCATTAATGCTGATTTGTCAGTTCATATATTCCTATAGATACCTGATGCTCAGGCCCCTAGGAACTGTAGAGGTGTGTCCATCTAGTCAGCCAATAGAAGAATCCCAGATGTTATTTGCTATCTTTTTTAAGGCAGATGGTTCTTTAGGATATGTGTGTATACTTTCAGCACACAAGGAGTGAGTGTGGAAGACATATCCAGTTTTTCTTGCATTATTAATTGGCAAATGTAGCATACTGTAAATAAGAGAATTGAGCCATGTGTGAAATCACAGCCAAGTAACTTAATGAATATAAAATTGTTAAATATTTTATACAAGAGAGGAAGGGGGATAAAAAAATTGCTGCTGTGTGTGATGTATGATTTACTGGTGCCATTTGATCTATTTCGAACAAAAATAGATGATTAATCCTCCTGCACTCTTATAAACCAGTGTAATACACACCCTACTGAAAGATCTAGCCTGTAACAAACCCTATAATTTATATAAATATAAATAGATAATATTTATAACAAAACCAATTATTTATCAGTGTTCAAACGAAGCAGCTGAACTTTAGGTGTATCATGCTCTGCTTTCTCAAATACCTTTGCTATTTGTCCTGAAGCAACCATAACGGGCCTGTTGTTGGTGACAGGTGGCAAAACACAGCAAATTCCTTGTGTGGGAATTACATTCAAGTGGCTCTTCCTGCAGATATATATGGGAAAGCTTGGTAACTGAGAACCAGCATATCTTTGTTCCCCTAGGTTATTTGGGATCTGGCCAATTCTTTTTTATTCCTGCCATCTTAGCAATAGTGCAGTCCCACGTACTGCTAGTGCAGTTTGGCTTTTGTAGCTTGTGGGTATGTTGCCTATTTCTGAGCTGGAATAGTTGCCTAAATTTCCATAGATTTCTGAGTGTTGCAGTGGGCTCTACATGCTCTGTGGCACTAATGGGCTTGTTGTGTTTTCAGATTTAAATATACCACAGAATTAAAAAGAGACAAGGAGTCTCTTAAAGTCCAGTCTACACCTATTCTGTAGGCTGGACTTTAAACAGAGTTGTACTGTTGGCTCAGTTATATGAGGTTTTCCTTTAAATGCCCATTGCCAAGGACTTTCTGAAACTAGGTTTACATTTGGCAGAATGGGGAGTTTTCATGATCAGATTGCTTTCTAGACATATTTCCAAGTGAGGATTGAGATGGAAAATGTTAGCAAGTATATTTAATTATCATGAGGTACTTATTGCAGTATAGCCGTAAAATTAGATGAATGCAAACATCTCTTGGGAGTGGAGAAGAAACAATAAATGCAGAAATAGCAGAGAGGAAATATTGCTTTGATTTGGATTAGAATTATTGGTAATATAGATGGGTGTGCTTTTTATAAATCTGTCTGAAGTTTGCAAGAAATTCAGAAATAGGTCACAGTTCAGTCTATTTAAGTTATATATTTTTTAATGTGTTTATCTAAAAAGTGAAAGTGAGTGTGTTTTTGTGTTTTCCTTTACCAGTGTTCTGCTTGGTGGGAGTTGTGACGGCGTTGTGCTCAGCACCGATGATTATTTCCGCCAGCAGTACGGATACACCTATAATGCTGCTCAGCTTGGTGATGCCCATGAGTGGAACCGCAGGAGAGGTTGGAATGAATAAAAGGCATCCCATTAAGCTGTGTTATGTAGAGGAAATAGAAGTGTAGCATAACATCTATGAGTATTAGGAGTCTATGTGAAAAGGAGTATATGTATTTTAGCAAAGCATATATAGAAGTATTTCAAGTGCTTTTATACTTTAATTCATGTGTGTATATATACATTAAATTTTGAACTTCTGCAAGATTCAGAATTAAAAATAGATAACCTTGATTCTTTGGGCATCAGGTTCTTGTTTCTACTTCTTTTCATTCCTGCCTGTACCTTGTATTCTTTCTCTCAGAACAGAGTGTTTCAGTCAGAGTAGATTAGTGAAAGAAAATCTGGGGCAGTTTTTTTTTGTTTGAGTTACATGTGGTTTATTAACTTGCACAATTTTTCATTTCAGCAAAGCAAGCAATGGAGCAGGGAAAATCTCCAGTTATAATAGACAACACTAATACTCAAGCCTGGGAAATGAAGCCTTATGTGGAAGTGGTAGGTTTTGTTGCATGATTGTCACCAACTTAGACTCAGACTTACCCTGGCTGCATGGGATAAGTTGATACGATTTTGTCCAGAAACATTTTTATTCAAGTTTTTAAAAAGAGAGACTGCTTATTGATAATGATTAGTAATTGGTGTGGCAGTGGTTTAGATCAGTTCAAGAATTGATCTTGACTTTAATTTGCTTAGCCTGAAATGAAAGCTAAGACAGGCTGGGTGTAAGCGAAATTCAGCAAGTACCACAGCAGAGTATGCTGCTGCATCTGTTTATTATATTTGTCTTTTATTTTTTTTCTTGCTTTATGTCATCAGGATACATATCACACATATTTCTTTGCTTGCTGCAGGCTCTAGAAAAAGGATACAGAGTGGAATTCCATGAGCCAGATACTTGGTGGAAGTTTGATCCTGATGAACTAGAAAAGTAAGGTTTCTCTTACACAAATCATGGGACTTTATATATATAGAGAGATAGATAGATAAATATGAATGCATAAATATATATGCAGTACGTTATATCTTATTCAAAATATTTTCTCAAGTTCCTTACCAGTAATATGAAATGTATTTTATTTAAATAGGCATTTTGAGGTGTACATTTACATGGAAGTTTTATGGATAAATAAGTAAACCAGCTCTATCTAGTTGGCCCAAAATGTCAGTATTAAAATTTTATTGGACTTGTGTAGATGTAACTAAGAGTACTGCTGAACATGGGTCGTTGAATTTTTGGGTTCTGAGAGTGCTTGGGAAGCTGCTTATTCTTCTTGGTTAATGTCCTTTTTGTCTCAGATATATCTGCTTTAGGAATCTATGAGGTATCAAACCAGCTCAAGGATATTTCTTTGTTTGAAAAGTAGTGTAATATTTTCACAGTTGATGACAGAGTTCTCTCACTGATTTTTGTTTTATATACATCCAGCTGACTTTGCCTCTAATGTTTCAGCTTTGTAGCCCCTACTGTGCACGAAATATTTGTATTTTTATATATATATATCTAATGCTTGCATTACTGACTTGGACTCTGGTTTATAAATGTTCTAAAGTTTTCACCTTTTGCTCGTAAGCTACCACTCACTTGTTTCTAGAGATGGAGTTCTCTCTCTGTAGAGCAATAGTCAGTTTTTCTAGTTTGGCATGCAGCACAGCCAAGTTAGGAATCTTAGTAATCAGGCACTTAAGATTTCCATTACACAAAACAGACTAATTTTCCAGGAAAATTCATGTTTCCAGATGATCTTAACAAGCAACAGGATAAACTGCTGTGTTGTTACTGTTGAATTTTATTGTTCAATTATTAATTGTAGGAGTAAAGTTGATATCTTTCCCAGAGCAAAACCCTTGAACTGTGAAGTGCTGTTACTAGTTTTTAGAAGATTCCTAGAAATATTTTAGCAGTTCTAGTTGCTTTAAATATTTAAACAGAGACCCATTGCTTGGAAACTTTATTTTTTGTGAATTTAATAAAGGTGGTGATGTAAGTTTTCATTTTGTTCCTTGGGAGTTAACTTGGGAGAGGGCTCCTCAGTTTTGTTTCACCAGCAAACTTGCTGAGGGTGCAGTGGTGAAGGGCAGTATGGAAGCATTTATTAGTGGCAGAACTTTTATCAATAAGTTTTTTAGCTTTTATCAAAAGATTCTGTGTTCCTCCATGCAAAACAGTCCTCCTCCCCTGTCTGTTAGGAGCCTTTGCTGGTATGTCTGCTTTGGTTCAGATAGGTGCCTTTATGCTCTCTCAGCATAGCGAAGCTGCCAAAGAATGAGTGAAGACATGTCTGAAGAGGAGATCCCAGTATTAAATGACACTATACAGCAAATTGATTTCCTTTTTTAAATCAGTTTCTACGCTTGATGCGATTTTGCTGCTGGTGATTTTATTATCCTGCAAGGAGAAGTACTTCGTCTTTTAGGAAGTGATTATGCACAAGTCCATTCAGTTGTGGATGTGTGTGCACTTTATGTCCAGTGCACTTGAGCTGTAATTTTTTTCTAGGAGTACTAAGATAGTAAAATATTGAATATTGATAGGAAAATATTGAATAACTTTCTGCTTCCACTATTTGGCATTAAATGACTTAGACTTGCTCTTCTCATTTTTTGACTGTCACAAATGTCAACTGCTTTATAAAATCCACATATTTCTAGAGGGTCAACTTTTTTCTCTATCATTACCCTTGTTCATATTTGTGAATAAAATCAAAACTGCTAAGACTCACCAAGTGATTAGTTCAACATGCAGCTGCTCCTGGGCTGCTTTTGCACAATGTAGAAATTAAAAGCATTTAAACAATGAGCCACGATCACTCCAGCTTCTGGTGTTGTCTCAGGGAGGAGTGTGAGGGAAATGCTCTGCTTAAGCATTTTCTTCACAGAAAGCAAGCTGATAAAATGCACCTTTAAGGAGCCAATGTAATTTTGAACAGTTCTGTGATCACCAGTTCTGCTTCCATTCTGAATGTGAAATTAGTGTGCTACCTGCCACGTGCTTTGAGCTCTTGTCAACTTGATACTTACTTCTTTGTTACAATAATACTCCTCAAGTCCTGAGGGGACTAGTGGTGAGGAATCAGTCTTCTAAAATATTTCTGTATGGAATATTGTCTTTCCAGTGTAGCCTGTTTGTTCCCACTGTTGATTTCTCCTCTGTAGAACTGATGAAGTTGTTAAGGCCCGTACCTCTTCTGTCCCTAGGAGAAAGTACAAAGATGCAGAAATATATTCTCTGTTGGTTTGTTGGGGACATAATTTAGCTTGGACATTATTTCTTGGCAAGAAAAAGTATTGGGTTATGATCAATGCTTGTTTATGCTATCACAACCTTTTGTTTCTGTTTTATGTCTCTTCTTTTAGATTCATTTCCATTACAATTCTGTCAATTCTATGACATTCAGTTTGTGCATGAGGCTTGTGGTTTTCTTCTGGCAGAGACTGAAATTCTCTGCTAACATGGATTTTAAGGTCCTATTCCATAAATACCAAGGAGATTTTATGTATATGTTTGTATATATATATATATATATATATATATATATATATATATATATATGCTCTCATATAATGTGCTCAGGTTCTTAATAGACCAAGTTCTCCCTGAAAGTAGCTGGTTTCTGAGCACTGCAAGAATAAGACAGCACCTTTGATACCTTTTCCCTTACATGTGTTTCACTACATTTCTGAATTTACAACAAGTGCGACTTACAACTAGTAGATTAAAGTGTTCTGAGTGTGTGTTTTTCTGGTTCAGAACTGAAGTCGCTTCTTCTTCTTCTGTAGAGGTTTCCTGATGAGAAAATATTCTGTCATTAAGTCTTGCAACAGTGTAGTTGCATATTTTATGCTAGTTTGAACATTTCTTTCATAAGGAGTAGTCTGTGCTGTTATTAATCTCTACTCATTAAAATCTGTACATGTAAATCCTACATGTAAAATCTGATGAATAAATAGTAAAATCCTTGTAGGGTAATTCAGGTGCATAGTTATAGTGAATAACATCATATTTGTATATGGAGAAGAACAACTGTATTGTTTGCTGTTACTCATAATATGCAGCTGTGAATTGTTAAAATAAGCCTTAGTGCAAGTTGAATACCTTGAGAATGAGGATATAGTATAATGAAAACAAGTAGAAAAATTGAAAATTTAGAGGGTTTTTTCTTAGAGACTGTACATACAATTTTACACATATATATTTACTTAGATATATAACTATATATAGCTATAAACATACCAGATAATTTATTGTCATTTTTGTTTTTGTAGGAGAAATAAGCATGGAGTCACTCGTGAGAAGATTGCTCAGATGTTGGAACGCTATGAATATCAAATATCCATCCCTATTGTCATGAATTCAGTGGTACCTCCCCACAAAAACACTCAAAGACCACCTCTGCAGAGAAGACATAGGTGGGGAGAAAATACAGACTCATGGAGTTCTTTCAGTATTTCCAGTAGCCAGTAACACAGTTGCAGTCAGTTAATAAGAATCTGTTATTTGCCCTTTTAAAACACATCATCACTTCCAATAAAGTAGTGATTTTCTGTGTTTTAAATAGGCCTATTTCAAGACCCATTTTCTTCTGGAGGTTGTTCTTTTTAATGGACTTGCGTGTAAATAAAATTGTACATTTAATGTTTTTTAAAACTATTAAAGTTGTAAGACCTTGGATTTTAGTAAAATATTTAATATAGTATGGCATATAGCAGTCTTTCTTTGGAAATCTAAGACAATGATGTCATATATTAGATAACTGTTGAGCAGTTTTTTTAAAGAAGGAGTCATATTAAGGATTTTTAAAAGAGAAGTAAAACTCAAAAAGAAGAGTTTATTTATGTAGTAATCAATTTTAATTATAGTTATTTAGTGTTCTTATCTTTTTGGAGATTTTTTTGAAAGCAGTTATGCTCTGGATTGTCCTTTAGTTCTATTTGGCATATATTGCCAATTGGCAAAATTTTGGCATGTGTTTTTGACTTCAGTTAAGAGGTTTAAATTTTTTGTTGTTGTTTTCTTGGGTTTTTTAGGTTTTTCCCTTTCTTTTTTGGTCTCAGAAGTTCATGTGGCAGCTGAAGCAACATTCTGCCAGTACAGTATTCACCAGTCATAAACTGTGCAACCTGAATTTTTTTTTTTATTCTCATCAGTAATATATAAACTGTGATGATGTTGGCACACCGCCAACTTGTTTTGTGCTGACTGAAAAAAAACCTAAATTTTATCACTAAACCACTGAAATTTCACAGCTGTGTCTTTCTAAATCAGTTTCTTTCATTTGTGATAAAAATGAAGTTTTAAAAAATTAGGCTGTCAATTCCCAGTCCTCAGTTAGGATGAATCAATTCAATATAAATAGTGGATATAATTCTGTAAAACCATCTTGCATTCCTAATTTTGGCATAGCCAAAGTAATCTGTTTAGCACATAACAAAGAATGAGCCAGCATGGAGACTGACTAATTTACTGCTCTTTTTCTCTTTAAAAAATTATGAATTTGTAAGTGTTCACTTTGCCTTTTTTCTAACAGCTTGCTGTATTAATAAAATATATTTGTGTTCAGTATTGTTGAAGTAGTTCAATGCAACAGTTTATATTTTCAGGCTCAAAATTAGGATTTTGTACAGATGAGCATTATTGCTGCCCTGCTAGCTGAAATAACCTAACTACTCTTGACTTCGTTATACACTGAATGATCAAACATTGACTAGGAAATTTTGTCAAGAGCATGAGTATGTAACAAAAAGAATTTAGATGATTATCTACTACTCATTTTGTGTCACAGTATCAGAATTTGAAAACTGCAAAGCCAGCATAATTTCTTAAATTGTAGACAATTTTTCAATAGGCCCTAAAAATTGCTTCATCAATAAAGTCTGAATACCATGAGAGCTGAAAATCAAGCTATATAATGAGGTATCTTTCTGTGGTTTTCTACACCTATTGTGCAAATTTATGTTTTAATTATTTGAGCCAGAATTTAAAATCTCACTAGCACCTGCATTGTTAATATATTGAATTATGTGTTTGTGTTGAAAAGAGATTCCCCAACTATATTAATAATCTTCCTTTATTGTCTGTTATTCATATCAAGTATTTAGTGTATTTTAGTTTTCATTGTTATATTTTTCCATGTCTCAAAAGAATCATGGATATAATTGTAAATGCTCATTAATACTTCAATTATGCCAAAATTTTTATATTTAAACATGAAAGCACATTTCAAGTGTGAGGAAGATAAAAAGATTTTATACTCATTTACTCATGCCATAACATGATAAAATTTATTGAGGCTTATGTAATATTCACACATTGCTAAGGCATGGCAAAAAAAAGCTGATTATTGAAGACTGAAATGGGGTGGTTTAGCAGTATTTATTTGAATAGGTACTAATTTGTACTGCTCTAAGATGGTGCAGCTTTTCTTGTGATGCCTCTTTAATTATCACTGCATGGGAGTGTTTTTGCTGTGCAAAGTGTGCTGATCAATTGGCCTGCAGTTTGAAAAGGACACTTAATGAAGGGAAGCTTTGCAATTTGTGTATCAAACATTTGTAAATCGGTTCATCTGTACAGCTGTATTCTAAGGTAAGTACAGTGACATGATAGGTGAAAACCCACTGGAATTACTGTCCGTGTAACACTTGTGTTTCATGGTATAATCATATTTCATGAGGATATGACAGTCACAGGTCATAGACATATCTCAAGTTGATTTTACACTATTTATAGGTAAAAAATTATGTGAAATACATGTTACAGATACTGAATTTCTCATGCCCTCAAAACCAAGGAAAATTAGTTATTTGGTCAAAATGTGCAAGAAATGTAAGAACTTGCTGCTTAGCTAGACAGAGGATCTAAAAATTCTTACTGTCGGTACTTTCTGTACAGTACTTCTGTTGATGATGATACTGTAACTAGAATGATGGCTTCCCATTGTTCACTTTTTAAATAAATTGCTAGTTCATCATATTTCATAAATAATAATATCAGATTGGTTTTTGTTTTTAAATTTAACTAATGCATACAGCCATAATATTATAAGTAAAAATCCTAAGTTTTTCCTGCATACTTGAAACTAGTGGGATGTTTGGTAAGTAAATTTAAGAGCTAACTTTTCTAAGCATGAAATTTACATGAAAATTAATTTGTAGAACATACATAAATTGGTTCATTATCAAGGCATCAATATAGCAGACCACTTAGCATCAGCTTTATAAGGAAAAGTGCTTTTAGTTTTACTGCTTCATCTAAGCTGCTATTTCCTGGTTTATTGGTTTATATCCTGAATTACCAAAAGTTTTCATCAGCATTCATTGGATGATGTAGTTTTCTTATTTTAATTTTGTATAGTTAAGAAAAAAATTGCCACCCCAAGACCAAACCCTAAAAAACCTGTGTGCTAGTGTTGGGTGGGATAAAGTTAGTTGTTTTCAGAATAGCTGATCTGGGACTGTGTTTTAGATTTGCCTGGAAACGTTATTGATAACACAGGGGTGTTTTTGCTACTGCTGAGCAGTGTTTACACAGCATCAAGGCCTTTCTGCTCCTCTCAGATTTGGGAGGGGACAAAGCTGGGACAGCTGACCCTGGCTGACCAAAGGGAGATCCCAGACCTTGTATATAAGGTATATAAGGCTGGAGGAAGAAGGAGTGAGGGGGTTTGGAATGGTGGTGGTTGTCTTCTGAAGTAAGAGTTCCATGTGATGGAGCCTGGCTTTTCTGGGAGATGGCTGAACACCTGCCTGCCTGTGGGAAGTGGTGAATGAATTCCTTGTTTTGTTTTGCTTTGCTTGCATGTGCAGCTCTTGCTTTACCTGTTAAACTGTCTTTATCTCAAACCATGAGTTTTCCCACTTTTACCCTTCTGATCTCCTTCTTCATTCCATCAGGAGAGAGTTGAGTGAGGGGCTGTGTGGGGCTGAGGTGATGCTGGGGATAAACCATGACAGCCTGGTGTAACACTGCTAATTTTTTGAGATGTGATGTTAAATTATCTCCTGTGAGGTATCCTGTCTTCTGTTCTTGTAGCCATACCCTCTTCAAGTTCAATTTAGTTTGCCATGATGCATAATTTTTTAAGCTATGTGTGTTTAAGAAGGCGGCCAAGATTTCATCTGACATCTGTCTCTTGAAGCCTTTTGCAGAGACAGTTGTTTCTCTGCAAATAGATCACTGAAAACAAGGCTTTCTCTAGCTAAAACCCATAACATTTGTATTTATTGTTTGTGTGTCTTTCCTGTTGTAATTTAAACTGTTGGTATTTTCTTCTTTTAGCTGAACAGTAAGTTTCATTCTCAGTGAATTAGAAGAATTCTCACATTCATGTGTGGCATGTAGTTATAACTGCTGCTTTCTCCTAGCAGTCATGTTCTCTGGAGGAAATGTTTTTGCTCAGTGCTGGTACATCATGTAGATGAGGTGGCTAGGTATGTGTTGAGACTTCAAAAGAGCAGACACATGTATTACAATTCCCTGTAAAAAGTGTTAAAAATACAGTGTTGAAATAAAATTGAAAGTAAGCCCTCATTTTAAGTGATCAGATGTTTCATGTGGATCAGATGTAGAAATATTTCTCTTTGAGGTTTCTAGATTGATGCTTGTCTCATTTTAATGTTGGTGTTCTTGTCCTTTTGAAATAAAAGCAAGAGCAGAGAATAAAGCTCTCTATTAATATCCTAGGTGAAAATCTTGTACATCAGTAAATTTGGTTTTTTTTTATAGGCTAATTGGTTGAAATTAGCTTCAAACCTGCCTGTTTTGAGATCACAGGAAAAAAAAGTGTGAAAACATAATTGGTCTTATTTTTAAAAAAAGGTAACAGTTTATCAAGGTCTAATCATCTCAAATTTGTCTTAATTTATTACTGTAGTAATGGAGAAGCTGCAAATGGTGGGTTTTGGTTGAGGTATGGTGTCAGTGGAATTCTAGATCAAGGATAATAAAAGCATTGAAGTATTTTGTCTGGAATTGGTTTTTGCAGTTTCCTTTTAGCTGATAGTGCTGCCGCTTCATTTCTCTGGTAGGCAGGCAGTCCTTGACCATGTCATGTGTACCTTACTGATTCATGGTGTTCTTGTAACAATATCATGTTGTGCCAGGCCAGAATATATCCATGAAAACCCAAAACAAAACAAAAAAATCAGTTGTACTTGCAGTCTTTTTAATGATGTTAAATTTTTTGTTTTGTTGTCTAAACTACTGATTTTTTAAAAGGCTGAATTCTCTTGGGTCATATTGTTTAACCTCTTTCTAAATTGCTAACAGACTAAGAAGTGCTGCTTTAGCTTACTGAGTAAGCATTTGCTTATTTCTAAGGGATGTATTTGTATCATGTATAAATCAGTCTTAGTCATAGGCCCATAATCCTGTGTGACTGTTATATTATTCATGATACTTTTAGGTTTTT